ACCTTGGTGCATTTCTTCATCTGTTTGTGGGATTGTATTCAAATATTCACACTGGGACCACAAGGGTAAAATATCATTTTCATTTTCTAAGTGAAAATGTCTTTATAATAAACAGGGGAAGTTAAAATTTATGCCTAACTTCATAGAAGGAGTAAAATATTTCTTATCAAATTGGAATTTGATAAAAAGTATACTACATTTCTAGAACACAACATTTCTTTAGTTGTTAGAGAGGTTGTGGATGGAAAAAGAAGAAATTTTAACAATTTGCACAGAAGACTTCAAATAGAGTGATTTCATGTAAAGGCTGCAACAGAAAATTCAGAGCTTTCCACATCCTAAAAAGAAATGCTTTAAGAAAGTAGAACAAATAAGAGCAAGAGAATATTACTTGATAGGATCCCATGTCTATTGCTGTTGTGGACATGCCAATTATCAGAAGACTAGTAGCGTGATCGGGTTTCCTGGAAGATGTTGATTGTGTCTCCTTGGCCACTTCAGTTATAAACTTTTCTTTCTGTATGTAATTCACTTTTACACCTTCTGCATGCACGAAGGTGCAGAAGGGGACAGGGACACTCCTGCAGCAGATCTCAGAAGCACTCAGATGCTCACAGCCTCTCTGTCCCCATGCACACATTGGCCCTCGCTGTAGGCTTTGACATCCCCTGCCAGTGGAAAGCATGCACTCGCGCCAGTGCTAGTTAGTATGGCAAACGAGCTGGAGCCTTGCAGACACACTCACCACGCAGTAAGCTCCAGCAAGTCCAGACATTTTCAGACTTTGGACCACCAAAACCTGTCTAAAAGGAACAAGTTCATACACGTTATGAACAAACCAAGTCTTTGAAATGTCGAAGGGTTTGTAGTTCACTGAAAATGTTTTAGGGATCCAGGTTGAAAAGTTTGAAACCACCGGTTGGATCCAGAAACTTAAAATGGGCAAAAGGGATATTGGAAGATGAGAGGAGGATTTGTGGAACAAATATGTAAAAAAGCTCTCAGCCATTCCTTTATTTACAGGAAGATGAGCCTTAGCTATCAACTTCTTGTTTGTCCTACAGGCCTCCTTTATGGAGAAAAAAATGGGTAAGGCATAGGCAATCAGTTAAACAGAACTAAATTAAAGTTGTTGACGAAAAATCATAACGTGCATTTGATTATTCAGCTTCGGTGAAACAAATATTTAGGGCAGCATTCAAGTTTTCATTGTTTTTATGACCAGTATGTTTGCTGCCATGAACTCAATCACAGCACAATAGGAGGTGAGACTAAATGGTTTGACACATAAAAAGTAATCATGATTAAAGAATTGACACTCTATGCAGTGCAGAGGCTGGGGGATTTTTTAATTGCAAGGCAGAGGCTGTTACATTTTTAAATGCAAAATTAATTTCAAGATTGATTGAAGTCTTCTTCCTTTCTTCTAGCAATGGAATTAGCGTATTATTGTGGGCCTTCTGTGGCTCTTTGTCTAGTGTACGGCATCTGCAGTGAGTTCAGCCGTGTTTAAAAATGCATTTAGATTTGAGCTCTAGAATAACCTTTGCAAGTACTTTACCCCCTTGAAACTTCACAATGAATTTAATATGGGAGATGGAGGAAGAAAAGGAGGAGGAGTTGGCATTAGAGCTTCAGAGGATACTAAAGGGTTCTGTTTATCCGGAGCCCAGGTAAATTGCTGGAGATTTAGCACACAGCGCATGCCATTTGACGGAACATGACCTTGAAAGGACACCTCCTTTCTGGTTTGAGGGGGGTAATTTTGTTTCATGCACTTGTCAATCTTGCGGCTGTTTCTTCAAAAGCAAGCAAGCATGCTGAATGAAATGTGTGACAGTGCTGAGGGGTGGCCCGCAAAAGTGTAAGGCTTGATTATTAATTAAGCTGAGACTGCACCCAAAGCTACAATGCTACAGTGCAAAATTATTTCTGTTATTTTTGTGGGAGCTTATGTTTGGTGGACTAGCACAGTTCAGATCTCACACACAGGGTTATGCACAAACAAAAGCAATCATCTATATATGGCAGTCCACACTTTTTTTGCAACTCTTCTTGTTAAAGGCGCTGATGAATCCACTCTTGCTGGAGAGCTGTGTTGGAACAGATCTGTGCTAATCAAGATGATTTTTTGGCTCTTGGGTATTCCTATGGTCTTAACTAAATCAGATTTGTAGGGCACACTTAATTGCTTTACTGCCTTCAATATGCAGCCATAAATGAAAATGGTCTGGCCTAATTCCTGTGTTGAATATCAACAAGTTGTGAAGTGTTTGTGTGTGAGAGACCGAGCTGGCATTATCTGGATGGTCGGTGCTGGCAGGAGATTAGCTTGAGGCTGCAGGGGCACAGCGACAAGGGAAGTTTCCCCATCATTGTCTTTCGTATGCTAATGCTCTTGTTCATTACATTAACTCTAGCATTGCAATTAAAAATAAGAAGAAAGAGAGTAGCAATAAATAGTACAATGTTTAAAATACTGAGTTATAATACATCCTAAATCTGCTAACCCTTACCAGTGAAAACTCAGATTAGCCAAAATCTGTTAACGTTTACTCATACTGGGAGAACAATTTCTCTGGATTTCAATAATTTTCCCAAACTGGATATATTTCTTTGTACTTCAGTTGGACTATAACAGGGCTACACGGAGAATTAAGATCTTACCACTTCAATGATATGACCAACAGAAGTTATTCTGTAAGGTCTGTTCAGCTTAATTTTACCACAAGTCCCAAGAAATGAGCACTGGGAAGCCAAGAAATGAGCACTGGGAAGGCATGCTCTGGGCAGCTTAGGAAATCACCAGGTCCCCATCACCTCCTTCTGTCACAGGGTATAACCCACACAGAGGAACCAGCAGGAGTAGATGTGCACCCACGTGTCTCCAGTGCAAGGCCAGAGGGCTAATACAAACCACTGCTCCTGGGCATTAAAGCCTTGGATTTAGCACTGAAGCAGCTGAGGTGCAGACACATTTCTTTCTGCCACTTCTGTCACAGCCAGGTAATCTCAGCAGGAGGACAGAAGAGACCCCCGGCAAGAGTTACATCTTCACCGCTTCAACCAAGTTTCCCTCACATTTCATATCACCCAGTTTAGCAGTAAAAAAAAGACTGTCAGGAGCTATATACCCTTATTGCAAGGAGTACTTCTTCTGGTAATTAAGATTCCTGTAGGGGTGATGCACAGTCAGGTGTGGCTTCTTCAGATGACTTCCCGTTTGCTAGGAGGCAAGATGTGGATGTAGAGATTCTTACTGCAGAACAAGTCCATGGCAGCTTGGCATGTTGGGAAGTGAGCTGAGGTCCCAGCCAGGCATTTCTGGATGTTTTACCCAAAATAAATAATAATTAAAATAAAATAAAATAAAATAAATTCAGTTATAAAACATTCAGAAATTTACTTTCCAAGCTCAGTAAAACCTAGAATTAGCACTTAGGTTTAAGCACCACATGTGGTACACTTTTTGGGACTAGACAAAAATTTTCCTTTTAAATTGTTTTAAAATATGTTTTTAAAAGATTTATAATGGAAGATAGTCAGTTTCAAAGAATTATTTGAATTCAAGTTTTTTAAAAAAATCAGCTTTGAAATGTTGAGATGCACACTTGGGCATGTGTTCATTACTGCACAACCATTTTTTTTCTGAAATTTTAAAAGAAGTCTATTTTAGAACTTAGAAATTGCCAAAATGTCAATGAATCGTAAATTATTTAAATAAAGTGTTTACAATGACTCAAATAATGTATTAAAATTTGCTATAGGGCAAAATTCAGATTGTTGTGTTTGAAGCAATGAGTACAATTCAATTTTTTAAATCCCTTAATTTTTCACAAGGCAAGAAAGACCGTTTCCAGCTCAGCTCTGCTGGTTTGTGTGTGATATAGCAAAGAATCAAGTACTGAAAAGAGTTAAAGCAATTTAGGGTGCTATCTTCTTTCTTACTAACGGCATCTTCGCTGCAAATCAAGCCTGAACTTCATGCAAGTCCCCCTATTCCTAAATTTTCTTTAGAAATTCAGTAATGCTGAAGTGAAATCTGTACCTTTCTAACCACTTTAATGGAAGCAGTATTTTACCCTAACTGGGCCAGTGAGGCATTGGCATAATCAGTAGCTTATGCTTGGTTCAGCAATAATAATTCAATTATATATGGATAATTCTTTTGTATTCATAAAGACAGCTCTAAGCCTTCAAAATCAGGCAGTCTGTATTTACTAGTTTGAAACTATTTCAATTTTATCTTTTACTTTTGAATTATTTTTATACAATTATCTCTCCCCATGAAAATTCTTTTCTGTGTTCATTGAACATTGAAGAGCAGTATGTTTCCATTTGAAAAGTCTTAGCATTCCAGATGAAAATAGATCCATTAATTACTGTTTTTTCCCCAAATTAATTTCATCTAACTGCCTCTATGTAGATCTGTGCCTGTATTGTACCACTTGGATTTAATTGTAGGGAATAAATAAAAACAAAAGATTCAAGACCTTTAATGCATAGGGAGAAATGGCAGCACCATCTACCATCACGGTTGCCTAAAACTCCCACAATAAGATCATCTTTGCATTTTTCCATAAATAAAAAACTTTTAACTTCTTCAACCTGAACTCTTCCCTACAAAGAATTTTTCAGGCTGAATTTAATCAATAATCAGTGAATCTATTTGGGTGATCATAGAATCGTAGGCTCATAGAGCAGCCCAGGTTGGAAGGGACCTTGAAAGATCATCTGGTCCAACCTTTCATGGGAAAGGGAGCCTAGATGAGATTATCTGGCACCCTGTCCAATTGCATATTGAAAACCTCCAGTGATGGGGACTCCACCATGTCCCTGTAGAGGTTGTTCCAGTGAATGATTGTTCTTACTGTAAAAAATCTCTTTCTTCTATTGAGATGAAACCTTTCCCACTGCAACTTGGACCATTGCCACTTGTCTTCTCCATGTGGCCTCTTGTGAAAAGAGAGCCTCCATCCTCTCTGTAGCCGCCCTTTAAGTACTGGAATACTGTGATGAGGTGCCCCCTGAGCCTTCTCTTCTCCAGAGAGAAAAGACCTTACTCCTTCAGTCTTTCCTCATGGGGCAGGTTCTCCAGTTCTTTCATCATCTTTGTGGCCCTCCTTTTGACCATCTCCAGTCTGTCCACGTCTTTCTTGAATTATGGGGACCACAACTGGACACAGTACTCCAGGAGTGGCATGACAATGCTGAGTAGAGTGAGATGATCATGTCTCTATCTCTGTTAGTAATGCCCGGGCGGATGCAGCCCAGGATCCGATTTGTCTTTGTTGCTGCAGCAGTGCCCTGCTGACTCATGTTCAGCTTGCTGTCCACCAGGACCTCCAAGTCCCCTTCAGCAAAGCTGCTCCCCAGTCACACAGATCCTAGCCTGCGCTGGGCTCTTTGGTTATTTCTTTCCAGGTGCAGGACTTTGCACTTGCCTTTGTTAAACTTCATATTGTTCTTGCTTGCCCACTCTTCCAGCCTGTCCAGGTCCCTCTGTAAGATGGCTCGCCCTTCTGACGTGTTCCATCTCACCACCTGGTTTGGTGTCATCAGCAAAGTTGGTGAGGGTGCTTTCAATCCCATCATCCAGATCATTTATGAAGATGTTGAACAGCATGGGGCCCATTATTGATCCCTGGGGGACCCCACTTGTGACGGGTTGATACTTTCCAAGAATGCAATTAACTGGGTAGGTTACAGAAAAGTTACCACAACTGAGCAAACCGAAAGCATGTTCAGCTCCTTCACAGCAGTTGTTCCCATGAATACTCTGACTTCATGGATAATGCAGGTTACCTTCTCTCACTTTGTCCCTGAGGCTCAGGGCAAAAACTAAATAATGAAGATAAAATATTCAGCAGTTGCTCATTCAGGGAGCACCAGCTGAGGACTTTGTGAAAAAGTGGTTTGTGATCATGTAATTAATGACAGTAGCAAAATACATATTCATGACCTAGATGGATTCTGGTATTTCCTAATTTTTAAGCGCTTGTCACAGTAATCTTAGTATTTAAAACATTTCTTCTGAGTGTGTAGCATGTCAGTCAGGGTGGGCAACAGAAGGCACAACTGACTCCCAAACTTGCTGCTTCTGAGAGGTTTCCCTGGCTTCTGGGCACCAAGTACCAGCCAAAAGTGCCTTTTTGTCTCTCCAACAGGGAAGTCAATCCATGGGGACTATCCCTCCTGATGAAAAGCAACAGGAAGAGGTTTGGGATTTTTTTTCCTGTGATCCAATTAGCAGAAAAGTTTGGGTCTCTTTCCACTTGCATGGAAGTTATCTTACAGATATAGGTGACATTAAGAATTCAGAAATTAGAATTGAAAAGGACTATCTAAAGCATTTCAAAAACAAATTTAGGATGGCTGTCGGCAGATTTATTTCAATTGATAAACTGTGTGGCTTTAAATATCCAGTAAAGGTTGTCTCAGGTCCCAGTCATCCCCACTCCCTTTATTGAGGCTTGCATATTCTCTCAGCAATGGTTAGTTCAGTTGTAGTAAAGGCAGAGACAAAGTACTAGAAACAGGAAACATGCAAATAAAATTCCTGCACGTCCTTCAGAAACTGTCTGTGCAGCCTGTAATTTCTAGGGCAAAGGTTTGATGTCTGATGCTTCAAGTGAAGTTTGAAACTGAAAAAACCCTGGCTCCTGTGGAGAAGAAAATGTGTCGAGGAAGTTTGTCCTTTTTAATCCAAGCACCTAAGAAAAAGTGTTAGATCTAAAATATATAGGTTTTGTCAGAACAGGCTTCTATAAAAACCCAAGCCAGAGAAATATTTCTGTGTTTTTTTAATGATTTACATTGGAAAATAAGTTTTTAGAGGACTCTTTCTCAATGCTACCAACCTAGACAGAGCAGTAAAGGAACCAGGAAGCCAAGATGGCTTAGGTTTGACTAAATAAAAAATATGATAGATTAAGGTTTTAGCTGAAGATAAGAGAAATGCAGAAACACAATATGTACCAAAATAACTATTTTTAAAGTATTCTTATAAAAATATTTTGTTATTAAATAGTTTTATTACATTTTACTTAGAAACAGGGCCTGCCCTAGTTTCTGTGATTGTTTGTTACAGCACTTTCGACATCTCCATCCCTCTGTAAGATTATAGAAAAGAGGTCCAGGAAAAATTTTCAATAATTCCTAGAGGCAGGTCTCTCCAAACAGCATCCACCATCAAGTTGCTGTTCTATCATTGGTTTGTTATGTTGAAATAAATATTGCAAGGGCTTTCTCAGTGGATTAAATCTTTTTAAGCAAGGACAATTTCAAGGCAATATCTTGTAATGTATATTAGGGCTTTCCCATACACACATGCTCAAGAGTGCACATGTGTGTGTGTAAATACTTATATAAAGTCTTCTGGGAAGACAGCATCTCATTAATGCCCTTAAATCCAAGAGAGATGAGCACATGCTAGTGTTACAAATTTATCTAAAAGGAGAGGATTGACAGTGTTGTACCAAACTCTACAAAGAAAAGGATTAAGATCAGGGGCAGTAGCCATGGAAGTAAAAGTGAACCTTTCCATCAGATTCACTAAATGTCAGCTATGGCTGTCCCTAAGACAATATTATGCAATGATTGTATCATTTGTAAATTTTGGAAGACGTATGACATCATACAGAAACATTAAAAAAAAAAAAAAAAATCTTACCTGTGTATGAATATTTGGTCTACGTCTTTGAGCTTCCTTGAACTCATGGCTGCTGAGAGTTAGTAATTTTGTAAGCGGTTTCATTGTTTGATGCCTAAAGGTAGGCAATTACATTTTGTATTTGAGTTTCAAATATCCTCTGAAAATCAAGTTATTTATTTAAGTGCTTCACTGTGAACTTAGCCCAATTTCTGTTACTCATGCCGGAATATATTGGCTAGCATTCTTCAGAATTTTGTCTCAGAATTAATAGGCATATGCAAACATATTTTGATCTGCTCAGGTTTTGTGTTCTTGCTTCTTTTAATAGGTACTCAAACATCACATGCAACCTTTTGCCCATCTCCTTCTCCACAGGGCTATATTTATAAATGGTTTCGCCTTTAATATGGCCCTGCTTTCCTATTTTAGAGAACAGAAATGACTTATCAGCCTGGTAGCAGATCCTTATTTTGTCTGCCTCCCACAATCCATCAGGAGAGGGTTAAGAAAAGGACCGGTTATCTCATAGCAGTCAAATTCTTTGTACATCATTGAGTTTTACATTGAACATCTCTGTGTGCTGTCAGCTGCAGAGAAAGAAGATTACACTGTCTGTCTGCTACATGAATACCCTGTAAATACTGCTTCAGTGCAAAAGGCAGATTTCTAATCAGCTATGAAATAAACAGAAACTGCTAGTTATTTTATCATTCAAATAATCAAATTTGGTTGCTTTAATGCACAACAGCAATTTACTTAATGTATTAACAGACGTCTAATAGCACAACAGCCAAAATATCCAAAAGAGTAAAACAAACCCCACAAATGAGAGAGGTTATGAAAATATTTAACAAGAGCAGTCCTACACACTGGGCTGCTCACCAGCATCTACAGTGCAAGCAACTCTTTTTGAACCTATAAATGATTTTGAATCACCGATCCCCAAGTTGGTGGGGAATAAGGATAGTAGGGATGGGGAGATGCAAGATTGTTTGGGGTTTTATGTTTGGTTTTTTCCAAGACAGTCTTAAACACCATCTTTCCAGGCACCACCGAACACAGTGGAAACAAAAGCTTTTACCTAATTTGATAGGAAACGACTGCATAAAGGGAAAAGTGAAGATATACTTCAGATTTGATATTTTTAAAACATCAGGCTGCACCTTTGTAAGCATACGCATGTTGCAGGTCAGTTATTTATGGAAATGGCAATGGGGGATGCAATCAGTAACCAGTCTTGAATGTATCTTGTCACCTAAAACATGTCTGTATACAGGAATACATAAGGCTCTAGTAAATTCCAGAGGAGAAAAAATCTGAATTAGAGCAGTGAAGGTTTCTTGTAGGATGCTCTTGTATCTTTTGAGAAATGACAGGAATCTTTACAAAGTGATGCAACACTTGCAAAATCACAGCAAATGTGCAGATTGCTGATTCTGCTGCTGGTGGGGATCGTAATAGTATAGCCTGCATGGGGCTTTGTTTTCACAGTTAGACGCAGAAACAAATCCAAACTTCATAATTAAGGCATAAACCAAATCCCAGGCTTTTAAAAACCTCTATTTAACTCTGCTGTTCATGATGTTTCCCTAAGGACTCAATACTGACCAATCGCTGAAATTTGAATGCTGGTGCTTTTACAAATAATGGCCCTTGTAGTGTCCATAGCACAACGAACAGCCTTGCTACCACAGATTTACTGCTTTGGAGAGTCCTACCTCTGGAAGCCCCTTTCATGTGGCACATGTAAATATTATTGTTTAAAAATTAGTGTAGACCCTTAATAAGGTGCTATAAAGACACTGTTTTAAACTTCACAGAGAAAATATCAGCTTCTATATAAAATGATCAGGTTTTGCAAGTGATATGGCATAGCAGAGAGACACAGCTATCATGATGGTTTTATGTCACTTCAGTTTAATACAAAGAAAATTCTGCACGTCAGTAGCTATTCTTTGACAGTTTTTTGTTATTTCTTCCATTTTCATTTCAATCCGGGGGAGTCTTCAAACTTTTTAGATATTTTGGTTGCCTCCATTTCTTATGCAACACTGGAAGCATTAAAAGGGTCTGCTTACAAATGGGAATGCCGTCCTGCCTAATGAATGTGATGCTCTGTTGGGGCACAGGGATTTTTTTTCACTTCACAGCTCTGTTTCTGGCCTGCTTGTGACCACAGGTTAACTGTGCGGTCGCTGCATCCTTGGTGCAAACAATAGGTCTAGGTCAGTGCCTTTACATTAAATGGGTAGAAAATGCAGCTAAGTTAGTGTGGTTTAATTTTTGATCCACGTTCTTTAAAAAATACAAACTAGCAAATGCCAGGGACTCTGAAAAAATTGTTATTTTTCTTAGGTA